TTTGCTCTTAAATCTCATTTTATTTCCTAGAATCTCTTTCAAATCTATCAAAATTCGTGTTCCATTCCATTATCATAGCTTTATAACTTTATATAAGTAAATGTGGCACATTTGAACTTTCTTAAAGATTCTCTATAGTCAAATAAGACTCTAAATTATCTGTCAAATCATTTTCAATGTTCTGCTCATTGTAATAATTAACTAGAATCATTTTGCTCCAATCTTTAAGTACCTCTCTAATCCACCTTTTCTTTCCTGTTCAACAAGCTGCCTTAACTCTCACTGTGCTGGCAACCCTTCCAATCTATTATCTCTTTCATAATTTGACCTCAACGTATCTTTCCAAACATTTCTTCCAGTTAATCTTCAGGAAACCTTTACTCCAAACTGGCCTCGCACTGTTCGCCAAATATGCCATGCTCTCTTCAGCCCTACAGCTTGGCACTCACTCTCCTCCTCATCTCCATTGCTTTTCCCAGCCTTTTCAGAAAAGCCAACCTGTAACCTTCTCTTGCAAGTTGTTGGACAGAGCCTTGGACATTTTACTTTTATTCTCCAACTTCTCCAACTCCATCTTTCTGTTTTCCTGTCATTCTTTTCTATGTACTCTAAAGACTTCCTCTTGTTCCAGATCGTGTTGAACAAGCTTCTTCTTCCCCTTCCTTGATGTTTTATACACTGCTTTAGTCCAAACTTTCCATTATTCTTACTTTTTTGCTAGTCTTTATCATGGTTTGCTTTTGAGAGATCATTATTTTTTGGCGATTTCTTTCTCTCTGTTCCTCCATGAGCATCCTTTGGGCATATAACAAGTGGACAAATCTTCCACATGAAATATCTGGGTTACGTTTTTAGTTCTATACTATTACTTCCTGGGCCAATAATAGAATGGATCTCCAGAAAGAACAGACATTCAGTTGCTGAATGGAAGAAATGTTTCCTTCCCTATTCAAAAGCAGCTCTTCTGACTAATTAAAGAAATATGTCAAAACAGTTCCCAAGAAGAACCCATATGTCAGCCAAAGAATTAAATATTTTGAAAATGAGAAGAACCACTTGGTCTATTTTTCAATAGAGATTGAGAACAAAGGAAAAGAAGAAAGAGCAGGAATAAATCAGAATTCAAGCTGAAATAAATATAGAAATCTCTAGTTGCAATGAAAGGGGAAACCATGTAAGCTTAGGACTCTGGTGAAGCCCTATGACATTATGTTTATAATTAAGGTTTTAACTACATTCCTAACACTTGCCACCAGCCTTTGACCAAAACCAAGCTCTCAAAAAGGAAAAATAGGACATAAAAAGGTGCTGGAATCATGGGCAATAGAGAAAGCCTTTTGCATGATACAAATACTCTTCTTTAAAATAGCATGCTTCAAAAATAGTTGGGTGGATGGATACAGTGAGCACTGAAGATGTCAGTGTTTTGTGAGAATGGACTCATAAACTACTAAGCACTATCCAAATATAGGCTATTTATTACCACTTTACAGGAATGTAGTTATGTCTTACCCACTGCTGGGTAACAAATGGTATTGTGTTCCACTACTTCTTCCAAATTTCAAATGACAAAAGTAATTAGGGGAAAAAAAGAATACAGGAAAGGATTTATTTCTCTTCTTATAACCATGTTACCCCCTAGGGAACCCAAGTCCTAAACGTCCAAGTAGTAGGAATGAGAGGTACTCAGCAGCAGAATGCTATCACAATTTGGCTGTGTGCCTTCAAGGATCCAACAAAAATATGTGTTTACAGAAGTGGAGCAGCTACTCAGCTAGTTTAGATCCCACTCTTTGAGTACTCAAGACTTTCCATTTTCCTTAGTCAACCACTTCTGCAATCTATGAGAAGGATCAAACTAAAGAGGAAAGGCACATACATGTTTTGGGTCCTGAGTTTCCCGGAGACAACAACACCACTCTTGTACATCTTCCTTATAACCTATCAGAGCAGTTCTGCAATTTAAAAATCAGGCACTATCACAATGTTTCCATCTTTGGGTTGTATGCAGAAATGGTTAGAGATCCCTCATCATTGATTAATTCAATAAATACTTGCTGAAGCTGTATCACAGTTGATACTGTGGGTGTCAAAATGAATAAGACAAATAACAAATGTCACATACTTATTATTCTCTGTCTCTGTCTCTGTCTCTGTCTCACACACACACACACACACACACACACACACACACACACTGCCATGAGTAAGGCTTATTACTTTGTAGGCTGTAGGTACTCACTATTAATTTCCTTCCTCCCTCTTTATTACCTTACAGCTCTATTTTCTCACTTACCATTTTATAGGTGACAAACAATTCTGTAATACTGTGATATTACATATGATATGATGTGAAATGATGTGCTGTGATATGATATGACATGGGAGTGACACAAGCATGTGCCATGTTAGCTGAATCCTAGGCAACAGTATGCCTGGTGGACACTGGCCAATACAGAGGAATAAGAAGTAATCACAATCCAATGGATTTGTATTTTAAGAAACACAATAAATATTTCTTCTAGAATCTAAACCAGCTGATAAAAGAAAAGGTCATGTCAATTTAAATGGGAACTACTATTACTAATTGCTTTACTTAAAAAAAAAAGGTAGCAGAAGAAAATGCAGAGCAGAGTAACTAATTTTTACTAACAACCAAATGCAAAAGAAATTCTAAATATCTGTCAAAAACAGGGCTAAGTGAACTATTTCTGAAGCAACAAAAAAGACCCCTGAGCAAGAAATTTTATAATCATCCTCTTTCTAGGTCGGAACTCTGTTAGAATAAGACAAAGAAAAATCTGGACCTGGAGTAAGAGGAAGATGTTAGGAATCCACACTGACAGAGATCTGGTTAACAAACAGATGGAGAGCCAGAGTAATCAGATATCACAGAAAAAGGGAATGGGTTAAGGGGAATAAAAGAAAAATTATAACTAGAGTAAAGGGCGAAACATTTTTTTGAACATCCATTAGGTTCAGTTAGTAGAAAAGAGAAAAGAAATTCTTAGGATATGATCAAAGAAAGAACCATTTTTCATATTTCTCCACAAGAAAACATTCAGTATGCTTTGACAAATTAAATTAGATATTTTAATGTACCTGAATAAATACCAAATGAATTCTGGAATTTGAAAATCCCTAGTGCTCATTCCATACAACACAGAACGGTGAGGGAGGAACAAGGAAGGCTGCCATATAAAATAAGTAGCTCATTTTAGTTTTCTTTTATTAAGCATAAATAAAAGGTGTCTTACAAGTATATAGATAGGATCCAAGAAAGCTAGTGGAGTATTTGTTTATTATTATTATTATTTAAGAAATAAAAAACCATCATAAAGAAAAGATCTTAGAAGTCTACAAATTTCATTAAAATATAATTGGACTTGCAGGAACAATTACTGTGCTGTACTGTAAGGGGAGCTGTTGGCACATAAGAGCAAAGTACACGTATGAGCTCATCTACCAGCCTAGGCAAGACCCACTTCCAGCTAGAAGCAGTCATGTTTCAACACCTCCGATTCCCTAATGCTGACAAGCTAAACAACTTGTTTTGTCTCTGGGAGCTCTTCTCTGGTGATTAACTGCTTATGGTGCATACTAATTATATGAAAGTACAGTATTGAAGAAGTAGTGTCCTATTTCCTCTACCTGCAGCCTTGATATGTCTTTGAATCTAGAAAGATACTAGGTAGAGCCACTGCAAACCAAATCCAAGAGAAATATTTCCCTCCCCCATGGTAAACAAATATATTCCCTTCTACTTTTTAGTATAACAAAGTTCACTGACAACAAACCTCCTTTAACCTCTGGGCTTCTTACAACAATAAAGTGAGTGTTTCTAAGGCCTATAATAATCATATGGATAAATCTGCAGCAAGAATTCGTGAATTAGTAACTATCAGTGTCCTCAATTCCCCAAGTCCCATGTTGAAAATTTACCCCAAATTGTCAGTTCTTAGGAACTGCACCTCAGATTAAAATCTTCTCACCAGGGAGTCTATGAGAATTTGTTCTTGTGTTTTAAATCCTAAGTGCTTGTTAAACCGCCAACACTGCAAAATTAGAGACCATTAAACAATATAAGGCAGCAAGTGATTAAATCTACCAAATACACATTCAAAGCAGCTTAAGCTACTTTTTAATTAAAAATAAAATATCACTGGCTAAATTCAGATGTCTTAGCTATCCAGAAAAAGTTAGAAGGCTGTTCAAAATGCAAAATGCTGCTGATAAGGCCAGATAGAAAAGGAGAAATAAGAAATAGGGTAGGGGGTGAGCTAGGGAAGCAGCTCCTCTCCCTCCCCGAGCCCAGGGGGGCAAGGCCTTGCAGTGCTGACCCGGTTTAGTCAGAGGAATAGAAGTGGGAGTCACTGCTGCCCTAGAGGGTAAGAACTCCATGTGGCTGCTGATTAAATAAGCTTTATTAGCCAAGGCCTCAGAGGAGACAGGGTGTTCCACCTTCTTGGCAAGGGGAATGAGTTGAGTAACAGCATGGCAGGAAGCTCCGGCAGTGGAGATGTATAGATGGCCGAAGGAAATGTTAGTGCTATTTTTAAATATAGCTTGAACTAATTGATAAACAGTTCTCAAAATAATTATTAGCATTTGGGGAAGGAAACATGGGGGCTTTGAGTTAGCAGAATTGCTTAAGACTGAAAGAAATTTTCACTGTAAAGTTACAAGTACATAAACATTGTAGCTTTAAGTTGTTCCTACTTGTTTAAGGAAAAGAGAAAGGGCCAGGGGGCTTAGTCAACGTCGGGCAGGAGGCCAAGAATCTGAAGATCAGACTTAAGGCTGGGATGATATCATTCACTCTGAAGTCTTGATACTCTTTCTAAAGCATGAGAAAATTTACTGGTACAACCTTACCTCACCCACAGTTTTCTTATTTTTAACTCTATTTTTTTTTTCTCTCAAGAATAATTTTCTAAATCTGCTTTCTGCCTTATATGTAAATGTTATGAATTTCCATTTAGCAGGCGAAATGGTCTTACCTAAAAAGCTTGCCCTAAAGTAAAGCACAGGCACTTGGTAGCTACAGGAGTACAAGACATGATACTCATATTTAATCACTTCGCTTCCCGTTGTGGTCTCAGTCTTTTCAAAATCATCCAGGGGTAATTCTAAAGCCTCCTGAAAAAGAGCAAAGCAAAAATAAAATGTGTTTATCAGTTAAAATTTTTAAAAATGGACATTAACACAGAAAGAGAAAGAGGAGGATTTCTTCTGGCAAAATAACAGTTAAATAAATATAGGACTATGAGGTAAGGAAAAGGGAGTTTCCAACATTAATGTTTAACGTTTGAGTCCTGGGTAAATAGTAAAACCAGAAAACATTAGCATTAAGTAATTCCAGATTGTTTTTGAGAGACAAAGCAGCTCTGGGTAAAGAAACAGGAAGGGAAAAAAAAGCAAAAGATCTATTGCAACAGCAACACTGAAAAATCGTTACAATTTTAGCAACAAGACGATGGCTATACAAGCTACCTTCTTCCCTACCTGTGAAAGCTAAAAACATCCTAACAATTGAACAAGAGGCTGTGAAATGTCCCTAAAGATTCTATTGTACTTGCCAAAAGATGATTCATTGTGTGCTGAACAATTCCCACTTCCATTTTGAATAAGAAAGTTATTGTGCAAGAGGTTGAGTTTGTTAGGTACATTTCAAAACCTGAGATGAGTCTGTTTTCTTTATTATTGTGCTATCTGTGGTATATTTCTACAATAAATCTTGATATTTATAATAGATGGCAAATATTAATGCCAACTTAAACATGGTTTTTGTAAGCAAAGATGGTTATAGCCAGTTCACTTCTCACTAATCATTCTTTACTGGTGGATTTATTATTATTATTATTTGTGGGTGTTTCTGAGGAATTTATCTTAATGTTTGGAAGCAATTAATTGGACATTGAGCCAGAAGCTAGGTTCATCCACACTCATTTATTTGAGTTGAAGAATTTCCTTTGAAATTAAGTAAAAGAAAAGAAGCAGGTTGGCTTGGCTCATTTCTACCTCTCATTAAAGCAGTAACAACAATGAACAATTGGAAAGAGTTACAGGAAAGATTTCAAACTTTATCAATATGAAATAAGGTTTCCTGTGGAGATAAGTAAAGCCACAGACTACTCTCCAGATCTGTATCTGCTTTACTAATTCCCCACTCACAGTCAATTCATTGGGGGAGATATTACACTGGATAAATCACAACTGAAGATACTTACAAAATAGTTTTCACTAAACTCCAGTAAACACTATCAATTAAACACAATGAATTAAATAACCAGAGAGAAATCACTGGAATATATATTCCAGATACAGAAAGTTAATGCAGTAGCGAGAAAGAGATTTTTCTATTTTTTTATTTGAATTTTCATTAGGCAAATTTACCCATATCTCCTTTTGAAGCAGTTCTTCAAATCAAATTCTTTCTTTCTGGTCAAAGATTAGATTGTTTAGCATTTAGAATTTCCTTTCTTTTTAACATTAAAAGCAGTATGTCTTTGTGAAAAAAAAAATCATTGCAGGGGCACCTGGGTGGCTCAGTCAGTTTAGCATCTGACTCTTGGTTTCAGCTCAGGTCATGATCTTGGGGTTGTGAGATCAAGCCCTCTGTTGGGCTTTGTGCTCAGGGTGGAGCCTGCTTAGGGTTCTCTCCCTCTGCCCCCTCCTCTTGAAAAATCACTGCAAATACTGCACAAGTACATAAAATAAAAAGTGAAATAAATTCTCCTCATCCCCACACTTCTATACCTCAGGTATGTAACCAGTTTTAACAGATGACTGTATATTTTTCCAGACTTTTAGAATTTTTTGGCCAACAAACACATACACACACAAACATCCACCCATCGTTAATTTAATCATGAAGTATAGGGGAGCCTGGGTGGCTCAGTCAGTTAAGGGTCTTGATATTGGCTCAAGTGATTCATCTCAGGGTAGTGTGATTGAGTCACAGGTTGCTGCATGCACAGCAGGGAGTCTGATTCTCTATTTCTCTCTCTGTCTGTCTCACCCCCTACTCCCAGTCTTTTTCTCTTTCTGTAAAATAAATAAATAAATCTTTTAAAAAAGTAAAACCAAAAAATATTTAAAAAATCATCAAATAAAAAAAATAAATAAAATAAAAATTCATCAAATACACAAAAATTCAGAAAGGGAGACAGAACATAAAGACTTCTAACTCTGGGAAATGAACTAGGGGTGGTGGAGGGGGAGGAGGGCGGGGGGTGGGGGTGAATGGGTGACGGGCACTGAGGGGGACACTTGACGGGATGAGCACTGGGTGTTATTCTGTATGGTGGTAAATTGAACACCAATAAAAATTAATTTATTAAAAAAAATTAGAAACAAATAATGTTCAAGTACTTATGGGATATGGGAAAAGACATTCTCCTAAATTCTTGCTGAATATAAATTGATAACTATTTTTCTGAGGATTGGCAGTTATCGATTGATCTTTAAAATGCACATACCCTTTCATACAATATCCCCTTTAGGAATCTGTACCACAAAAAAAGAGATGTACTAGGATATATGTGCTATGATATGTATTGCAATATTAGTTGTAGTAGCAGAAAATTATAATCAATCTAAAATATCTAGCAATATTGAAATGTTAAAACAACAAACTATGGCATAGTCATTCAATGGAATATAGTGAAGTCATTAAAACACAGCAAAATCTACAGCACTGACATGGCAGGACATGATACGATGTCCATGAATGAAAACTGAAAAATTAAATCAAGGAATGTATGTATATGAATTTTTTTTAAAGAGAAAGAGAGGGTGCATGTGTGTGTGCAAAAGGGGAGTGGGGGCAGAGGGGCAGAAGGAAGGGAGAAAGAGAATTTTAAGTAGACTCCCTCCTGATCAAGGAGCCCAAGGGGAGCTCAGTCTCACAACCCTGAGATCACGATCTGAGCTAAAATCGGGAGTCAGAGGCTTAACTGACTGATTACATAAGAATGAAATCTTGACATTTGCAGCAACAGGGATGGAGCTACAGAGTATTACGCTAAGTGAAATAAGTTAGAGAAACACAAATACCATATGATTTCACTCATATGTGGAATTTAAGAAACAAAACAAACGAGTAAGAAGAAAAAAAAGAAAAAGGCAAACTAAGAACAGATTCTTAACTATAGAGAACAAACTGATGGTTACCAGAAGGGAAGTGGGTGGGTGGATGGTTTAAATAGGTGATGAGGATTAAGCAGTGCACTTGTTCTGATGAGCACCAGGTGTTGTATGGAAGTGTTGAATCACTATATTATACATCTGAAACTAATATTACACTGTAGGTTATCTAACTAGAATTTGAATAAAAACTTTTTAAAAATTGCTAACTTCCTCCTGAAAAAAAAAATCTATCTACCCAAAGCAATCTACACATTCAATGCAATCCCTATCAAAATATCAATAGCATTTTTCACAGAACTAGAACAAACATTCCTAAAATTTGTGTAGAATCACAAAAGACCACAGAACAGAATAGGAATAGAACAGATAGAATAGAATGGAAACCCACAAATACACCCACAACTACATGGTCAGTTAATCTTCAACAAAGGAGGAAAGAATATACAATGGGAAAAAGATGGTATCTTCAACAAACAATGTTGGGAAAACTGGACAACTACATGCAAAAGAATGGAACTAGACCACTTTCTTACATCATACCCAAAAATAAACTCAAAATGGTTTAAAGACCTAAATGTGAGACATGAAACCATAAAAATCCTAAAAGAGAGCACAGTCATTAGTTTCTCTGACATCAGCCATAGCAAAATTTTTCTAGATATGTCTCCTGAAGCAAGGGAAACAAAAGTAAAAATAAACGATTGGGACTACATCAAAATAAAAAGCTACTGCATAGTGATGGAAACAACCAGCAAAACTAAAAGGCAACGTACTGAATGAGAGAAGCTATATGCAGCAAATGACATATCTAATAAAGGGTTAGTATCTAAAATATATAAAGAACTTATAAAACTCAACACCCCCCCCAAAAAAATCATCCAATCAAAAACTGGGCAAAGGACACGAACAAATATTTTTCCAGAGGAGACATGCAGATGGCCAACAGACACATGAAAAGATGCTCAACATCACTGATCAAAATTACAATATCACTTCACACCTGTCAGAATGGCTAAAATTGACAACACAAGAAACAACAGGTGTTTGTTAGAGTGTGGAGAAAGGGGCACCCTCTGGCACTGTTGGTGGGAATGCAGACTGGTACAGCCACTCTGGAAAACAATATGGAGTTTCCTCAGAAAGTTAAAAATAGAACTATTCTATGATTCAGCAATTGCACTACTAGGTACTTACCCAAAGAATACAAAAACACTAATTCAAAGGGATACATGCACCCAGATGTTAATAACAGCTTTATTTACAAAAGCCAAATTATGGAAGTAGCCCAAGTGACCATCAACTGATGAATAGATGAGGAAGATGTGGCATGCACATACCATGGGCATTTTAACAATATTTGCTCTTCCAACCCATGACTTGGAATGTCTTTCCATTTCTTGGGTCATCTTCAATTTCTTTAATCACTGTTGCTTTATAGTTTTTAGTATTGATCTTTCACCTCTTTGATTAAGCTTATTCCTAGATATTTTATCATTTTTGGTGCAAATGTAAGCACAGTTGTTTTCTTAATTTCTCTTTCTGTGGCTTCATTATTAGTGTATAGAATGCAACATATTTTTGTTCATTGAACTTTACTGAACTCATTTTATCAGTTCTAGTAGTTATTTGATGGAGTCTTTTGAGTTTTCTATAAATAGTATCATGTCATATGGAAATAGTGAAAAACTTACTTTTTTCTTACACATCTGGATCCCTTTTGCTTCTTTTTATTGTCTGATTGGTGTGGCTAGGATGCAGTACTATGTTGAATAAAAGTGAGGAGAGTGGACATCCTTGTCTTGTTCCTGACCTTAGGGGAAAAGCTCTCAGTGTTTCCCCACTGAGTATGGCATTAGCTGTAGTTTTTCATATATGGCCTTTATTATGTTGAGGTATGTTCCCTCTACAACTACTTTGTTGAGGGCTTTTGTCATGAATGGATGTTGTACTTTGTCAAATGCTTTTTCTGCATCTACTGAAATAATCAT